ATTGGATGACATATAATACCTAAATCCTAATTGTAAGTACATTAAAATTAATGTTGGTATATTGGATGTCGTATAATGTAGGTATATTGGAATAGATAATTATGTACACTTTTCATACTAGGTAAATTATATTTTTCATAAAACAAACAAGTAATAGGTACATTATTTTTTTAACATAATTAGTATGTACAGTTTTATTTATAAACAATTATAAAGTGGATTATTAGTCATATATAATTCATAAAAAGAAAATAACATAAACATTTTATTAAACAAACCGATTACCTATATTTGAATTTATTGTTAAATTTTTTTAAAAATATTTGAAAATTAATTCCTACATCCATTACAAACATTTGGAGATCTTTCCAAATTCAACATCTGTCATTATATACAATCCAATTAAAAACTGTTTCCATATTGATTTCTACATTAATATACAAAATGCAATAATGGCTTAGTTGGGGGTATTTTTGGAATTTGAAAAGTACAATAAATCAGATTTTATACTTAATTAGGTAACTTGCTGAGTTGGATCCTAGTTATGGGTTTTTACTTATACAAATTGGGTATTATTTATAGGAACAAAAAGTGAAGGGTAGGTACGTCAAATTGAATTTGAATGATGTAAGCCAAATTCACTATTGAAACAATTATGAATATTTTAAGTCATTTAAAGGAGTTATGTTTGATATATTCTAGGGGGAATGCTACCAACATTCTCTTTAACCTTCTCCTTTGGACATTTTCCCTTCTTTGCTTACCATGCAATGTATAAAATGTAAAATGTTGTAGTAAATAATTATGGTGTGTGTTTAATCTTCTTTCATTAATTACTACATATTTTCTACACTCATGTATGTCAACTTGCGATATAAGTTAAACCCATCATGCAATGCATTTCCTTCCAATTTTTTGTGATAAATAGATACTTATTTATAATTATTTACCTATTATTAATACTTATTTACATATTATTGATAATTATTTACCTATTCTAGTAGGTACATTGCTTATAGAAAAAATGATAAGTATGTTGTTTTTAAAATCAAATTGATAAGTATGTTAAATAAGTACCAATAAGCGATAATAGGTGAACAATTTACCTATCAATAATAGGTAAATGAGTATCAATAAGAGATAATAGGTAATTAACTATCAATAGATTAATAAGAAAATGAGTATCCATAAGACATAATAGGTAATTAACTATCAATAGGTTAATAACTATCAATATAAGGTAATAGGTTAATAACAATTTATTTTTTTCCTACAAGCAATGTACCTACTCGAATAGGTAATTTTCAAGAAATTTTTTCAAGTTTTAACTATCAATATTTTAGACCTTGATCCCACCCCAAAAAACCTATATAAACTAGACTCCCACTATTTCTGCTTCTCTAGTCAACAATACACAAATACAGAATACACTCTCTCTCTCTCTCTCTCTCTCTCTCTCTCTCTCTCTCTCTCTCTCTCTCTCTCTCCTCTAACATTCTCATGGAGTCCCCTTCCCGCTCCTCCGTCATCATTGTCGGTGCCGGAGTCTCCGGTGAGATTCATTTGCCACCGTCGATTTTGATTACTTAGACTCTCATTTGTCTCTCTCTTCCTTACCATTTTCTCATCGCTTTGTGTTTTTGAAGGTTTATCGGCAGCGAAGGTGTTGATCGAGAACGGCGTGGAGGACGTGGTAATTCTAGAAGCTTCAGACCGTATCGGCGGCAGGATCTTAAAACAAGATTTCGGAGGCGTATCGGTGGAGCTCGGCGCCAATTGGATAACCGGCGTCGGCGGCAAAGAGTCAAATCCGATCTGGGAGCTCGCCCAGAAATGGAATCTCCGCACTTTCTTCTCCGACTACAGCAATGCTCACTTCAACATCTACGATCAAAGGTCCGTGTAATGTCGTCGTTTCGGGTGCATTCATATTTTAGGTAATTCGTTCTGGTTTTTGCTTAAAGTAAGCCTCGTGTGCATTGAGCTCACTCAATGAAATATGCGTTGTTTGCTACTTTTGGCCTTTGGTTAACGAGCTCCCTGTCGTGCATCGTAATAACGGCCCGCACGTTTTTGCTGCTATTATGCGCCAGTGTTGAACTGCTTGGTTTGGTGGCGTTGCATTGTAGCATCATTTTATCAATATGAAAAACTTCCCGAGTTAAACTGAGTTAAATTTTTTAGTGTACTGTAGTGGGAAGATATTTCCTAGTGGAGTCGCCGCAGACGCCTTCAAGAAGGCCGTGGAGTCGGCGACGCAGAAGTTGAAGAAGCTTGAAGCCGACTCTTGCTATGGTATCGACACCAAAGCCGCCAAACCGTCTTCGTACGTATCCTTCTCTCTTTTATTATAGGCTAAAAGTCACTTTTGGCCCTTATAGTTTGACACTTCAACCACTTTTGACACTGTAGTTTCAATTCCATCAATTTTGACATGTAGTTTCGTATTTGTAGCAATTCAAGGATAAGTTAGTATTCCTGTCAATTTCTTTGACGATGCAAGGGGCAATTGTGTCAATCCAAAATCGTTGAGCATAATAGTTCGTCTAAAACTCCCATAATTTCATATTAGGCCTTATAATTGGTCGTTTGGGTTTAGGGCTCTTCAAAAATTGGGATTAGTGGTTGAATTTCAAGCTCTAATATGAAAAAGGAGAATTCCATCTCTTAGGCTTCTTCTTAATTAGTAAATAAATTTAACGCAAATGTTTTTTTTTTTGGGTTTTTCCACGAATGCGTTGGTTTTGTAAATATTCGTAATTATTTTATTTTACTTTTTTGGAATTTGGGTTTTCATCCTTTTTCTTTTTAATTTTCTAGTTATAGTTCTGGTTTGTCTTGTTTGTTTTTTCTAGGACACCGAAAACGCCCCTGGAGCTCGCTATTGATTTCATGCTGCACGATTTTGAGATGCCGGGTCAGTTTTCACAGCTTATTCCGCATTCAATTTTCTGTTTGGTTGCTAAGAAAGTGCAGAAAAATACATGAATTATGAATCTCACAATAAGAAAATGGCAAATGAAATTTTGAAATGCTTTCTGACTTTGAGCATGAGAAATGGGTTCTGTGTGCAGGAGGTGACCCCATATCGACATTCCTAGATTTTGGAGAACGAGAGTTTTTAGTTGCGGATGAAAGAGGATACGATCATCTGCTATACAAAATGGTTGAAGAGTTTCTTTTTACCTCTGAGGGTAAATTGTTGGACAATCGTCTCAAGTTCAACAAGGTACAAGAATCTGATCCTTTTATTCTCATGTTACTATTATTCTAACATTTTTCAATGGAAAAGTGAACCCTAAAGTCAAAGAGGTCTAGTCCGGTGGTAAAGGGTCTTGAGAGGGAGAAGAAATAGGGAGGGAGAAGAAAGAGAGAGAGAGGGGGAGGAAGAAGAAGATAGTGGTTGAGAGGGAGAAGAAAAGAGAGAGAGAGAGGGAGGAAGAAGAAGAAGACTGAGGGAGAAGAAAAGAGAGGAGGGGGAGGAAGAAGAAGAAGATGTGCCGACATAATTTTTTTTTTAAAGGAAGATATTTGTTAGGGTTTTTTAAATATTATTTTAATTCTGTTGAGTAGACCTATAAATACTAGAAGTATACATCAATAATATAAAGATATCATTTACCATAGTGGTCTTTAAATTGAAATGGACCTTAAGGTCTCTACAAAAAATTACTTAAGCCAAGCCAAGTAAAAATAGTCCCTAAGCATAGTCCTATATAACAAACGAGCCCTAAGAGTTGTTGTCTTGGGCTTTTCCCAAGTTCTAATTTTTTTATATTTAACTTAATTTTTATTGTTAATGCATTTATGAAGATGATTTCATTCCATACTTGATTTGGGGCAGGTTGTTCGGGAGTTGCAGCACTCGAGCAACAGCGTTACGGTAATGACGGAGGATGGTTGCGTTTTTGAAGCAAATTACGTGATTTTGTCCGTTAGCATTGGCGTTCTCCAAAGCGACCTCATTGCCTTCAATCCACCCTTGCCTGTACGTCTCATCTTTTTGTTTATTTCATTTCATTCATGTCTCTGTTTATATAGATATTATACTTTGCTTGAAATCATACCTAAAATGATGAATTAAAATATGTGTCACAGAGATGGAAAACTGAGGCTATACAGAAATGTGATGTGGTAGTGTACACAAAGATCTTTCTCAAGTTCCCCTCTAAGTTCTGGCCTTGTGGCCCCGGAAAAGAGTTCTTCGTCTACGCCCATGAGAGGAGAGGCTATTACACATTTTGGCAGGTTGGTTAAATATCGGATTTCTCTTTCATTTACAAAACTATTTATTATATATGGATACAGATTCTAAACTTATATTATGACAAATAAAATTTGTGAGATGTCATCAGCACCTGGAGAATCAATATCCAGGATCCAATATACTGGTCGTGACTTTGACGAATGAGGAATCAAAGCGTGTGGAAGCTCAATTGGATGAGGAAACATTGAAAGAAGCCATGGGGGCTCTTAAGGACATGTTTGGACACAACATTCCTGAAGCTACTGATATATTTGTACCTCGTTGGTGGAACAATAGGTTCCAGCGAGGCAAGAAGATGGGCCGACATAATTTTTTTTTTAAAGGAAGATATTTGTTAGGGTTTTTTAAATATTATTTTAATTCTGTTGAGTAGACCTATAAATACTAGAAGTATACATCAATAATATAAAGATATCATTTACCATAGTGGTCTTTAAATTGAAATGGACCTTAAGGTCTCTACAAAAAATTACTTAAGCCAAGCCAAGTAAAAATAGTCCCTAAGCATAGTCCTATATAACAAACGAGCCCTAAGAGTTGTTGTCTTGGGCTTTTCCCAAGTTCTAATTTTTTTATATTTAACTTAATTTTTATTGTTAATGCATTTATGAAGATGATTTCATTCCATACTTGATTTGGGGCAGGTTGTTCGGGAGTTGCAGCACTCGAGCAACAGCGTTACGGTAATGACGGAGGATGGTTGCGTTTTTGAAGCAAATTACGTGATTTTGTCCGTTAGCATTGGCGTTCTCCAAAGCGACCTCATTGCCTTCAATCCACCCTTGCCTGTACGTCTCATCTTTTTGTTTATTTCATTTCATTCATGTCTCTGTTTATATAGATATTATACTTTGCTTGAAATCATACCTAAAATGATGAATTAAAATATGTGTCACAGAGATGGAAAACTGAGGCTATACAGAAATGTGATGTGGTAGTGTACACAAAGATCTTTCTCAAGTTCCCCTCTAAGTTCTGGCCTTGTGGCCCCGGAAAAGAGTTCTTCGTCTACGCCCATGAGAGGAGAGGCTATTACACATTTTGGCAGGTTGGTTAAATATCGGATTTCTCTTTCATTTACAAAACTATTTATTATATATGGATACAGATTCTAAACTTATATTATGACAAATAAAATTTGTGAGATGTCATCAGCACCTGGAGAATCAATATCCAGGATCCAATATACTGGTCGTGACTTTGACGAATGAGGAATCAAAGCGTGTGGAAGCTCAATTGGATGAGGAAACATTGAAAGAAGCCATGGGGGCTCTTAAGGACATGTTTGGACACAACATTCCTGAAGCTACTGATATATTTGTACCTCGTTGGTGGAACAATAGGTTCCAGCGAGGCACCTACAGCAACTTTCCTCATGACCAAGTTGTTCGTGACATCAAGGTTTGCCTTTCACTCTTAGATATTCTACTTCACCATTAGGTCAACTTTCCTTATGTTTTAACTACCAATATGTACGTGGTGTCCTTCATCTCTGGTAAGCTTTGTAACGAACTGACATTACTTGTCCTTGTGTTTTATGTTTATGTCCAGGCCCGATTAGGGTGCATCTTTTTCAGTGGAGAACACACAAGTGAGAGATATAGCGGCTATGTCCACGGTGGATACCTTGCAGGTGAGCAATTAATCTGAGTCTGAGAGTTATTTGGGAGATTAAAGGCCTCTAGACTCTAGTTATAAACATAACTTTTGTAATGTGATCTTGTATTGTATGTGTTAACTAACTGTGGCGTTGGTGTTTGATGACTTTGATGATCAATAGGTATTGAGACAGGTAAAGCGTTGCTCGAAGAAATAGAAAAGGAAAAAGAAAGGAGTATTGAGAGTGAGAATCAAACAGTTTCGTTAGAACCCTTGCTTGCAACGACTGGTTCATTAAGTTTGACGCAGAACGAAACGATGCTGTATCGAGTCTCAAATGCGATATTCCTAGACAATTGTATCTAAGTGGCAAAGTTGGCGTCCCGGATAAACCTCACCATGATGACACTGATAATAATGATGCAAAAGAAAACATTTGCATATTGAGAAAGATATCTCACAAGATGGAGTTGAATATAATTTGTGTTGAAGTCCTTGATGCCGTTTATGAAGCAGAAGGGGAGAAATTATAGAATGATACAAGCGTATGGTTGATAATAGTATAGTTTGGGATAAAATTAAGGGTTAATTACAAAAGAGCCCCAAAATTATGGTGGTCATTTTCAAGTTCACCTATTTTGTAAAACATTTCCAAATTCCAAATTCCTTGAAGTTTCGTTTTTTTTTTGCCCCATATTTCAAACGAACAGTTTATGAGGCAAGATGCTTATTTCTTTTTTCTTTCCTCTAGTGGAACTTTTCTGCTTTTATAATTCCCACCTCTGTCACAACCAAGGACAACATATTTCTCATAGAATAATACTAGTCTTACCACATTTTTTATACCACATTTTTATACCACATGATGTGGCAGCTGATGTGTACATATCACATCATGTAAAATACTAATTTATGTTTTTCTAATTTTATTTATTAAAATACACTTCATTCATTTAATTGATGTGGAATATGATATGGACATGCCACATCATGTGGTATAGAAATGTGGGATAAAAATATGGTAAGTGTAGCATTACTCATTCTAATAACTAGTGCATACCCTTGCACAAATGCAATCTTAAATACTAGCATCTTCAATGATACTTTGAAAAAATTTGTTTGTGAAAGAGAGAATTTTATCACTTTTCATCATTCAGTATTTCACTGCCTATATCACAAATATAAAACATAAACTACACTTTGGCTACCCTAAGATAGTAGTCACTGATCTATGCCCATTACCCACCACTAACCCTAAAAAACATGATCATAAACTCTCAGAAAATTTCTCATTCTTATATGACAACCCAAAGTCCCATTATTACCTGGAAAAATGCGTATTAAGCATAATAGCTTAGTAAGAAACACTACTAAAAATTGATAAAGTTATATTTAGTAAGAAATTAAACATACAATGCATAATATCTTGAGAATTAGAAGGATTATTATACTCTACCATTCCACTCAAATCACAGCTGCCTACTATGTCCAAAATCCTCTGCAACTCGGACTCTAATGTTTGGTCTTCATCCGTAGCTAACGATTAACCAATAATTAAAGAGTATTTGATTTGGGTAGGAGAAGGATTGTTCTATTCCATGAATTGCTCTGATTAGTGATGAGTAGATTTTATATTATATATTTAACCCTATTCTTAGTATATTTTGGTTAATATTTTGGAAGAATTTTGATACTTTAAATTGTATTTTCAATATAGGACTTTCGACATTTGAAGCAAAATGTGGTCAAATGGATGAATTGTGAAGTAATTTCAGTTGGAGGACGTTCGTGAGTCAGTTGGCTTGATGGTATCAAAAGATCAGATTCTTCCACCCAGCGAAGATTTCCTGGCAAATAAATAAAGGAGCAATGTGCAGTGCTGGAATAGTGACGTTTTGGGCTTGAATTGCGGTTTTGGAGCCCAAGATGACCTCGGATGGGTTCATGGTCTTTTGGAGATGTGCTCGAAACATTTTTATCTTTAAAACAAGCTGTATTGGGCCGGAATTGGAGGAGATTTGTGGCTAAAACGTGGCTGGACAGTTTCTATGTAGTTTATTCTAGCTTAATTAGGACTTTTTGTTATAATATATTTTATTATTAGTTACTTTCCTAGTGGAGTTAAGAGACTTGGATTGTGCCGCTAGCTTTTAGGAAGTATTTAGGGGTCGTTTGGTACGGCAGACTGTCATGGACTGAACTAAATCCTGGGACTGTCTTGGATTAGCTCGGATTGGCTTAAGCTGGATTAAGTACTGACCTATGTTTGATAATACGTCGGACTATGAAGCTGAATTGTAAAAATAGTGAAGACCTATGTTTAGTGCTGTGTCGTACTAAAAAATAATTCTTATAATATTTAAATTTAATTAGGAATTTTGACTTAAAATAAATAAATGTTGCAAAGAAACCCAATTCAAAGATTTAAAACAATAATAAATAAATAAATAAAAATTTTTATATTTTTTACTCCTTCTTCTCTCTCCCTATTTTTCTCTCTTTCCCCTCTCTTTCTTCAACCAAATCCATATCAGGTGTTTTTTAAATAAACCAATAGATGTTGCTGGGGTTGGGGGCAGAGAAATGAGAGGGAGCCATTGATGTGGCTGGGGTTGGGGGCAGTGCAGTGGACGACGATGGGTTGGAGGAGATGGGTTTCCAGAGTTGGGTCGGAAGAATTCTAAAAATACGTTTTTTTCTTTTATTGTTGGGTCCAATCAGATCTTGGAGCTTCAGTTTTTTCAATCAAGAAAATATACTTCTTGGAGCTTCAGTTTTTCAACCTCAATTTTGTTGAGGTAGAGAAGTTGTGGGAAGAGAAAGTGATGAATGGCGTCAGGGAAGAGAAGCCAGGCCAGTGTGTTGGACTCGCTTGTTCAGTTTAGCGATGGTGCTATTTTGTGAACCACATTTTAGGTTCACTATATTAGAGGAGCTAGTGAGCCATTTTTTTCACTGTTGGACTATATAGTCTCATTTAAGTTAGTCCTCTCTCTTCCCAAACATGGGTTTTAAGTGCTATTTTGTCCAATCCAGGTTAGTGAGGCCTACCAAACATGCCCTTAAGGTCTTAGCCGGCCCTATTTTTTGGGTGACTTTTCTTTTATGCAATTTTGGGGGGGAGACAGAGACTTTGGCTAGGGTTTTTGAAGAGCTTCTACTTTAAGGTGTTTTTATTCTTATTCATTCAAATGATATTCTTCTTTGCTGTTTAATTATGAGTATGTGTAACTAATTCAAATTGCTAGGGCGAGGCCATAAGCCTTAGCATGAATATGTAATTTTATTAATTTGTTTATGAATGGATGCATGTTTGCTTTGAATTATTAATCACTGCGCTTAAAACTATCTATATATTTTAATGACTGATTACCATTAGAATATTTAGACAAGTAATTTGATGCAATTTTTGTTAGAACATCACCCTGAAATTGAGGATGGCTTCTTGTGGTTAGTAGTTGTAAGTTCACTTAAGGCGAACATCACGCTCTTAAGGGTTGTATGGTTTTTCAAAGGGTTTTCACAAAGCTTAATGAGTCTTGCATGTTTATATTTGATCTGAACATCACAGACGGATTGCATGTTAGATAGATGTTTTCGCTTGAACATCACAAGGAACATATATATGCATTGGGAAAACCCAACCTTCAAAGCATATATGGGGAAATTCATAAGTAACTGATAGAATTGCATAGGATTCTGACGGTGATGGCTAAACCCTAGTTTTTGCTAAATTGTTAAGTTTTAAAAATTAAAAAAAAAAACTGTTTTCTTCTTTGCTGTTATTATTTCCCAACTTTCAGATTTCTTTTATTATTAATTTAATCTTTCCAAATTCATAAATTTCAAATCTTTGATAAAACCTACTTTAATTATTAATTAAGAGTTAGATTAATTACAAATTAGTCAAACAATCTTTGGAGACAACGACCTTGCATGAGCATTTATACTACAATTACCTTGTATTCTTGCAAGTATTTTCAGTGATTTCAACCCTATTTGCACAGGTACAAAAATCCTATCAATCAGTAGCGGTGAAGAGAGTAGCTTTGGGTAGGAGAAGTGGAAAAGACACGAAGAAGGTTAAGAAGACGATGGGACTTCTTTTATGTACGTACAACTCATTTTTGCTTACGGCTACCTAATATTTTATATACAAAATTGATTAAAAAATATTTAAAAATAAAAGCGTGTGTAAGTGGACAAAAGAATAGTGGAAAAATCAGCTCCCTTATTTTATGTACATACAACTTAACCTTGCTTGTGGCTGCCTGAATTAACTATGAAAAATAATACATTTTGTATGCAATAGAACCCAAAAAAGTAAAACATATAAGATAGACAAGTCCATATTTTAATTAAAAACCGAAATAGATATTGGTATAATGGTATGTTTATTTTTATTATAAGAGAAGGTCTTAAATTGAGGGATCCTTCAAATAATTTTATTTGAGGGACACACTTTAGGGTACCTTACGAATTTGTTTTCAACGATCCAAACCATCTATTTTTTAAGTATGTATTCATAGATCATCCTTGCAAAAAATTAGACAAATCGGAAACCGTTTCGACATCCAATTGTGTCCTATAAAATCAATGAACACGGTCCTTCAAGAAAGTACTAAAATTTCAAGAACTCAATTAAGTGGTCAAATGATATTAGATTCAAGTGATTTTTTTGTAGAGATGATCTTAGAATGAGTATCTACAAAATAGACGTTATATATTTATTTATTTATTTATTTATTTTTGTGAGAAGGAGACCATTTTCATTATGTAGTTGTCCTATAAAGTTATTTACATTGACAACCTTGAAATTTTTCGTGTTTTCACAAAATTCCAAAGGTTTTGATCATTATACTAACATTCTTGAGATTTCAAATTTTTTTAACAGAACCCTTCTGCTAAAATTCCATCCAAAAATTGCTAAAGACATAAATAAAAAATTTACTCTTATAACTAATTACATAGACAACCTCGAAGATTTTGGAAATTACAATAAGACCCCGTGAGGTTTTGACATGCTTTCATATAACACCTTCACTACAAAAAAACACAAGGCAAATATGTTTTTTTTGCGCCAAAGTTAGGAAGGGGAAGGGGGGGAACTCACACACACGAGTACCATGGTGACTCAAACCTAAAACCACTTGGAAGCAAACCAAAGGTCGGGACTAATCCAAATAACACTCCATTGGTCACTGGACAAATATGTTGAATAACCCAGATAATCTCATGAACTGTACAATGTTGTTTAGTTACAGTAAAATGTGGGAGTACAAAAAACAGGGTGTGATTTTGAATTTTTTTTAATACTGCTACTTTTTGAAAGAAAAACCAAAGAAGTTTTCTTTTAATTAATTTATTAATTTATAGAGAGTGAAAAAAGTGCAAAACGAATTGAAGGTTGTGTCAATGTTTTGTTAAGAAAGTGAAAAAAGTGCAAAACGAATTGAAAAACTACTTTAAAATCAGAAACAACATTTTTTTAATACAAGTGATAGTCTAACTTAAGAGAAGGGGATTTCTCTTACACAAACACACGACCAATGTGCTATAGGCATTTGAACTTGAAACCACTTGTTGGATGAAATGTTGAGGATTTCGACGGTATGGGGGAAAATGGCCACACAAAAAAGTTCATATCCTTAATTTTTTTTATAAATTTTAAATAAATAAAAAGTATAAGGGATAAAACGAAAATTAAGTTTCTATAGGTGTTC